TGGTGCAATATTCTTTCGTTTTGCTTCTTCAATCCCTTTTCAATATGATCACCGGCCTCAAATTCAAAAGATGGTAATCCTCCAGAAATAAAGTTTTTCTGTCTTTTCCTAAATTGCATCTTGATAAGCAACTTTTTACTCTTCAGTGATTTCATTTTTTCACGTCTGAATTTCATCTTATTCATTAAACATAGGTTTACTCACAAAAGTCCATGTTTTAGGTTAGACAATAGAAGACGGCGCAGATTTGATGTACATATCACTATACTTTGGTGGATAACTAGAAAAAAATAGAATAAAAACCATCAAAGATTTACAAAGAATAAGCAACTCAGATTTTAATGTCTGGTGATGCATGTGTCAATAAACTGTAGAATTATCGCATATTCAAAAGGCAAAACACATATATGTAGGACTTCCACTAAGATAAAGTATCTTTATGCAAATTAGCTACTACGGCATTGTTTTTATTAGCCAATTTTAAATTTGATTAGGCACTAGCTAATGAGAAGAAATGGTAAATCACGAATTTGTCAGAAAATTGGAAATGGAAACATGCTATTGTAACATACAATTTATACATTAAGCAATATGTTTTCCTTGTGTTTAATTTACATTTCTGTGGGTGATAAAGTTCTTTTAAAAAAATGAAAATTTTTCTAGAATCATTCATGGTTTGAAATCACTCTTAGCCATTGTGACAAAAGTGACACAATTTACTGTAGTCAAATCTAAATGAATTTTCGCTATTGCCGATAAAAAAGGGTTAGCGGAACACTTGTAAAAATGACTTATGTACATTATTCTTGTAATTTGGTCATCATCTCGCAATTCAAGTGATTTCAAATTTGGATCTTCATAGAGCATCATCTTATCAATCCTACTGTATGTACAATGTACAAGTGTAATGTGATATTAGTAAGATCTTTGTGAAGTGACATCTGTACTTTGCAAGGATTTATAACAGAAGAAAAACAAATTCTGTATGCCTATTTCTTAAGGACAAGTGTAAATATGAAAAAAAAACACAGCGGTTTTAGTTTTAATTTGAAAATTTCTTTTGCCATCGCCCCACCGAGATTTGATAGTTGATGATCTTATACTTAAAGAGCGGCTGGCGTCGTGCTGCGCATGTGCGACATTTGTGTAGATAAACATTGATTTTCCCACAATCCAATGCGCTTTTCCAATGGAAAGCACAAGTATGAGATTTAACCTGGGCACGACTAGCAAGTATAATTACCTCCGGTGACTCCTTCGATTCCTTCAAATCACCTGCAAAACCTAATTCAAGCTTGGTCTCAGTCTGTACTCGTTGGTTTGCGCAACCAGTCATCTTCGTTAATACGATACCCATATATCTCCCGCATGCGTGGCGCGACGACTACTGCCCTTTAATGAATTTAGTTGGCCCTTGTAGGCTTGAATTCCATGAATATTAGCCCATGAATACAGTCCTGTAGGTTGGCCTCCTTCCGCTGATCATTCGGCCCCCTGATCAGCGAACCTATAGGACTGTACTCAGGGCTAGTATTAAGTTAATTAGATCACGTACCTCTACTAATACGTCTCCCAGCATGAGTGGTCAGCCTCAAGCTGTCAGTCTCTCTTTTGTATTGGCAAGATTTGGTAATCAGGTGAGTACCGTATATAATTTTTTTTCTATGTTCTGAAAAACTGTTATATTTACAGTAAAAAAATGTAATGTTTTTCATCACCCACGTCATTAGAGTCACACTTGTTACATACCCTGTCAATTTTATTCATTCCCATGTGGCGGCCTGTTTCAATTGGCAAGAAGTGGACTGAAATACGGAATTTGGTTAGTGCTACTCTGTGTTTTTTTGTTTTTATACCATCCATTTCGAATTTATAATTATTTTTGAATGTTTTATATGTACTTAGTTTATTATGACCAGTTTTGTTCAACTGACTTTCTAAGTTTGTTGAGTAGATTTGGTTAAACCTATTTTTTTTAAACAAATTGCAAAAATTGCCTGATTAGTATCTGTGTTTGACATATTTCTAATTTGAACAAACTTATCCCAAGGATCATATTTAAGCCCACTATTTTCTTTAAATGTTACGCAAGTCCATTAAGGCCATGACAAAAGATATTAAATCTCGAAATTTTGACTTTCAAACTCGAAATTTCGACTTTCAATCTTGAAATTCTGACTTTCAATCTCGACATTTTGACTTTCAATCTCGGAATTTTGACTTTCAATTCCGAAATTTTGACTTTTAATCTTGACTTTCATAATGCTGAAACTTCTACTTTTAACGACTGAACGTGGCGAATTGCATCATTCAGAGATAACTGCGATCAAATAGAGAATAAAGGTTAGATTTGTTGTTCATTTTACTGATTATTGAACACTCCCAATTAAGTGTGTTCTACATCAGCGTACTCCAATTTTTCTATAAGTCTAAGTGGTCCACAAGTGACAACATATATTTAATTCCGTCATCGCGGCAAAACTCTATTATTTCACGGCAAAACTTTATTATTTGGCGGCAAAACATTATTACTTCACAGCAAAACACTATTACTTCACGGCAAAACTTTATTTTGTCATGGTAAAACTTTATTATTTGACGGCAAAACTCCACAATTTGACGGTAAAACTGTAATTAGTTGCGGCAGAGCTCTATTACTTCGCAACGAAACTCTATCACTTGTAGCGGCAAAACTCTCCGCGTCACGGCAAAACTCTCCGCGTCACGGCAAAACTCTCCGCGTCACGGCAAAACTCTCCGCGTCACGGCAAAACTCTCCATTTCCCACGGCGGAAGTTGCCATGATATCCCAAAATTCACACTTCTTGAAGCCACTTTTTAATCAAACGCAAGACTGCTCAATGTCGACACGGCTTAGTGAACGCTGTCTGCTGTAAATTCGTATCGGTTTGATTGAAAAATTACTTCAAAAAGTGGAAATTATGGGATATCATTGCAACTTACGCTGTGGAAAATAGACGCGG